AAAACAGATACATCTAAAAAAGTGCTTGTACCCAAAATATATAAAGAATTCTCAAAGCTCAACAATAACAAGATAAACAATCCAATTAAAAATGTGCCAAAGATTTAAATACACTTCACCAAAGAAGATATAAGAATGGCCAATTATATAACTTCAAGTAATTAGTTGAATGTTCCCAACACAACAAGATGACAAATGCTTGAGGTGATGGAAATGCTGAACACCCTGGTATGATCATTGCACACAGTATGAATGTACCCAAATATCACATTGTACTCCATAAAGAAATCCAATTATCATGGACCAATTAATAAAAAAGAAAAACAAAAAATTTCAGAGACAGAAGTAGATTAGAAGTTACCAGAAACCGAGAGGAAGGAATAATGAGAAGTTATTGCTTAATGGGTACAGAGTTTATGTTTAGGATTAGGAAAAAGTTTTGGAAATACACAGCATTGTGGATGTAATTAATTCCACACAATTGTATGTTGTAAAATGCTTTAAATGGCAACCCTTATGTTATATATGTTTTATCAAGATAAAAAAAAAAAACAGGAAAAAAAGAATGGCCAATTAGCATGTGCAAAGATGCTCAACATCTTTAGTCATCAGAAAAATGCAAATTAAAAGTACAGTGAGATACCACCATGCGGTCATTAAAATGGCTAAAATTAAAAACTGGCAGCATCAAATGTTGCCCAGGATTTGTTGTAACTGGCATTCTCCTGTGTTGCTGGTGGGAATATAAAATGATACAACTATTCCAGAAATCTGTCTGGTAGTTTCTTATAAAGTTAAGCATGCTCTTATCATGTGATCCAGAAATTCCACTCCTAGATTTCTAACTGACATAAATGAAAACAGATGTTCACACATAAATCTGTACAGGAATGGTTATAGCAGGTTTCTCTATATTACCCCAAACTGGAAACAATCCAAAGGTCCATAAGCAGGTGAATGGGTATGCGAATGGTGATATATTCCCATAATGGAGCAGCAATGAAAGAACAACAACAAAAAAGAACATATTCGTTTTCCTAAGTATTAGAAGAAATGCAACAAGATAAGCCGAAAGAAACTAAGAAGAGATCATCAATAAAGATAAAATTTAAAAATAAATTAAGTATTTAAAAATAACTAGGGAAAACATATAAATCCAAAAGCTCGTTCTTTGAAAAGACCACCACTAACAACAAAATAGACAAATTCCTGGCAAGTTTGTTTACACATAAAAGATAAGTAGCACAGACAGAGGAATTTAGGAATGAGCTTTTGGGTAAGTCTTAATTGACTTTGAAACAATAAATAATTTTAAAGTTATTTCAGCTAATCTAGGCAACAGAAAAAGATGAAGCAGTAACCAATTCATTGGATAAAGCCAAAAAAACTTTAATACCAGGACCTAATAATAATATTTTTTAAAACTGCTGTAGATCAACGCCACATATAAAGGCACACAGTGTCTAAAGAAATATTAGCACATAGAACCCAGCAATAATCAAGTTATATGAACAGTAGATTGTACTCCAAGAATGTAAGTGTATTTAGTGTCTGGAAATATATTAACATAATTTACTTGTCAATCCACATATTAAAGAAGGCAATTCGGATGATGCTAAATGATAAAATGTCATTTATAATAAAAATTTTATGGTAAATGGGAATAGAAGTAAGAAAGACCATTTACCAAAAACGAACAGCGAATGTTTTAAATAGGTAAATATTAAGACTATTACAAGTAAAATCATGGAGTAGACAGGAATGCTCACTTTTATCATTATTATTTCATATTTTCTCATGTTTTCTAAGAAATTCAATAACATCAGAAAATAAAATTACTGGCTATGAACTTTTAAAAAGAGCTAAAATATGCCTCATTTTGCTAACGATATGATCGAATACCCATAGAGACTCTAGGGTAAAATTACTAGCATTAATAAGAGAATTTGGTAAGGTAGCTAGATTTAAGATGAATATACACAAACCAATACCCTCTCTCTATTCTTGTACTAAGCACTTAGAAATGGAAATAGGAGAAAACTATTTTATTGACAATAGCAACACACGTATAAAGTGAATAGAGATAAATGTAATAATAAAAATACTGAAATGTATTATGTTAATAAAATTACTGTATAAGTTTAATGAAATTTTACTTAGAATCACAACAGGGCTTGGCTCCTTTTGATTGGAAAAATATCTTAACGCTTTTATATGCTGAGAATTGCTTTCACTTACCAAATATCAGGAGACATTATAGGCCCATCAAATCAATATGGTATTAGCATAGCAAGATAATATAGATAAATGAAACAGCATAATGAATCCAGAAATATATGCTAATATACTTGCCTATGAGAATTTTACATGATTAATGTGTTGATTCAAATCAGTGGCAAAAGATGTATTACTTGATAAATGTGCCATTGCAGTAGGTTATTGCTCTGGATGGAAATAAAACTAGACAGATCCCTCCCTCATACTATATACAAAAATAATTATCAGATGAATTGAAGCCATAAATGTAAAAAGCAAAACAGTAAAAATCTTGCAAGAAAATCTGGGTAATACATGTACAACCTTGAGGTGTGGATGACATTTTTAACCAACACTGCCAAGTCTGATGATATGAAAAAAAAAGATATATTTGACTGTAAAAATCAAAAACTTTTTTGGTAAAAGTTATAAACAAAGTCAATAGACAAACAATAGATTTTGGATGAAATTACAGCATACATGACAAAAGGTTAATACTTGTAATAATAGAAAGGCTCTCATAATTTTTTTAAAAAAATGAAACAGCCCAAAGAAAAATGGGTAAAACATATGAATAATTAAATCTGAAAGAATAAATCCACAGACAACAAACATTTAAAAAGATGCTCAACCTCATCAGAAATAAAAAGAACACAATCAAAGTAATGATGTAACGTCACTCTACTTCTAAAAGACTGGCAAAAATTAAAATGCAAGATAAAAACTTACTGCTGTTGTGAATGATGGTAGAAATGTATGAAGAGTTCTGGCCTTTTTGGAAATTAAAGCTAAAAAGGAAATACTCCCTTCATTCCAGCAATATCCCTTCTAAGAATCTTTTCTATAGAAATATGTAGTGATATAGGATATACTGGCCAAAAAACTGGAATAAAATGAATGCACTGACTAAATTATGGTACAGCCATACCACAGACTCTTTTACAGCCATTAAAAAGAATGAATTAAAGCTATGCCAATTGACTTGGAGAGAGATATACTAGGTATTAGTGAGTGAGAGATGAGTGTACAATATCCCACTTTTGTAAAACAAATAATGAACAGGTAAACCTTTATCTGTATGTGTGTGTGCGTGTGTGTAGATGTATGTTATTATACCAGGGTTACATGGTTGGGGTAGGTAAGAAGTGAGCTGATGTGGAAGGAGGGTAGGCAGCCAAGCAAAAAGAACAAAAATGACTATAAAGTAAGTATGACATGACTATATTTAATATTTACCTTGCCATTACGTATGTATTGAGTTTAAGTATTTATAATACACATTCAAATAAAATGAAACAAAATTTAAAATAAATGATTTCAGCATTCAACTCAAGCAAAAATAGGACAACAAAATGAAGCAAAGGAAATTAGAAAGAATGAATGAATTAATGAAAATCAAAGCAGAAGCTGATACAACAGAAAGAAAATTAAAAAAGGATTGATAAATCAAACCAAAAGATGGTTCTTGACAAGACCAAAAAAAATCAAAGAACCTCCTGGAAATACTACTTTTAAAAGAAATTAAAAATCATAACATTTTGTATCCCATGAATGTATACAATTATACTTTGTCAATTTACAATAAAAAATCATACATATAAAACAATTTGCAAAAAAACGAGAAAGAGGGGCCGGCCCGGTGGCGCACTGCGCTAGTGCGCCGCTTGGGAAGCGCAGCTGCGCTCCCGCTGAGGGTTCGGATCCCACATACAGACCGGTTCCCGCTCACTGGCTGAGCGAGGCGCAGGGGCAACACCGAGGGTTGCGATCCCGTTGCCGGTCCCGGTCCGGTACGGGGGCGACACTGAGGGTTGCGATCCGTTGCCGGACATAGTCCGGTACGGGGGCGACACTGAGGGTTGC